ATGACCATCGGTAGACTCAATTAGAATTTCTATACTTAACGGAATTATTAGAAATTCATATTGTGTCTGTGTCCTTGTTCCACATAATCTCATTATGCGAAATACACTCATTCAATATCTCACCATATTAACAGTGCGGATAACACCGTTCCATTCTAAATGGGAATGACATGTATTAATAATGTTTTAATTAAAGATTCTGAACTTTAATTAAATTCATTATGAATATTGCTTTTTGATTATTATCCTTAAACATTATCCTCTCGTATATAACACTTATATACAATGTTTAAGGTTACATAAATAACCATGAAATTTTGATTGATATTCATAAATATATGCACATAAAATAATTAATAAACTATTTTATTAAATAAATAATAAATATCATATTACATCTTATGCTTCTAGGACACCATTCCCACCAATATTGTAGTTGGATCCGGTGAGGGGATTGGAAACCAGAACAATGCCTAGGTGATCACTGTTGTGCAAGAAAAAGGGGCTAGCAGAATCCTCTATTACTGGAGGAGTTGACGTTCCCACAACCACACGATTGCCGCCGCTGTTGCTACCTCTAGTCATTAGGCGAGATGAAGGAATACCTTCAGAGAATGGCAGAGGGTATTTTCTCTAATACCATATTATGAAAAGGAGAAAAATATAGAAGAGATCGAGAATATGGAAAAATGAAGTAATAATATAGAAGAAAGAATATGAAAAAATGAAGTAATCTCATTGCTTGAAGAAATGTCAAAGAGGAAAAAGAACTTATACAAAAGGTGGAGCAGTGGTTTGTTACGAATTTGTTACAAAAGCTCTAGCTCAGTTGAAGAAAAAAACAAACAAACAAAAAGAAAAACTAATCTAATAATTTTCCCAACTAAGTGCTCTATTTACAAATTTATACTTTTATCCTCAACTCTAATAGAGCTAATTTTCTACTTTTAATATTAGTTTTTCTCTACTTCCATAGTGGATCAAATGATCATGATTATATACTGTACCTGTACGGCTAATAAATTGGCTTATAAAAGGAGAACCAAAACATAACCAAAGTACACCGTCAAGAAAGCAATCCAATATGGCTATCAATACCATAACCTCCTCCATTTTCCTCCTGTTGTGTTTATTTCCTGTTTGTTCTTTCGTATGCCAGGGATATGCACTTGAAGAAGGAAAAGACACAGCAGATACCCCTCATCGTTATCGTCCGCATATCGTCAAAATCAGCTCTCTTCTTGCATCAAATGTTTGCAATCCCATCACTGAAGGTCAGATAAATATATTGTAACGTAAATAATCTGTACATGTGCATGTATAAATATATACTGTTTGGTGGCCAAATTTTAATGAAGTGCATATCTTTGTTTAAAATTGGTTCGGTGAAAATTCACTCTCTAAACCGCAATATATATAAGAAGCATGATTTGGGTTCGTATCTGTAGCATGCATTAATTCGTTACGTTTTATTAAAAATGAGATTAAATAAATAAAACAATGCTTGATTTAAAATAGTTTGTTTTTAATATAAACAAAGTCCACTACTAAAGCACTAGAGCATACGTGTTTTATTGGGTAATATATGGTAAAGAGCTCACAATGTCAATGAAAAGATATTACAATTCGAAGTATTTTTCACCAATTGAGAGTTTTTTTTATAACCTTAATTTTAAGAGGAACCCTTTTCTTTTCTTCTTTTTATTTTTCTTGAACGAAAAGGAAAGTTATTCGTAGTAAAGTAGGTGTAGCACCAATAAAAGATAAGGTGCGCGAATGCCACTTGAAGTGGTACGGGCATGTCTAACGTAGACCGCTAAAAGTACCTGTTCGTGCTTAGAATGACATTTTTATACCTAATATAGGAGAGAGAGGGGTAGACTAAGAATTACGTGGACCGAAGTCATTAGGAAAGACATTCTAGATCTAGGCCTTTAGAAAAATTTAATTTCGAACAGAACTGTGTGAAAAAGTGAAATCTATATAGCCGACCTCAATTAAGTTGGGATTAAGGCTTGTTATTATTGTTGTTGAAAAGGAAAGTTCCTTTTTCTCTAATGCTGTTTTACTATTCCCTAATGCTTTACTACTTTGGATTCAGCTCCGCATCACAAGAAGGCTACATTGAAAGTGGTACACAAACATGGACCATGCTCTCATCTAAACCAACTTGGAGATCAGAAAATGAGTGCAAGTGATGAAATCAAGCTCCTTGAGCAAGATCAACTTCGAGTGAACTCAATCCACTCCCAGCTGTCAAAAAGGTCCGGCGATCCCGGTTTCCGAGGCCCGAAGTCGACTAAGAGTGCCATTCCGGTAAGATCTGGTCAGACCATAGGCTCCGGCAATTACATCGTCACTGTGGGTTTAGGCACTCCAAAGAAACAACTCTCGCTAGTACTTGACACTGGAAGCGCTCTCAGTTGGACTCAGTGCGAACCGTGTGTGCGCTACTGCTACGCACAAAAGGAACCGATTTTCAAACCCTTGGAATCTACTTCCTATGCCAACGTTAGCTGTGCCTCCGAACTGTGCAATGCTCTAGAATCAACCACAGGTCATCATCTTATTTCCCCTTATGATCTTCTAACATATATGCTTCTATTATTAGATTTCTGTCATAAGTAGTGCCTAATTTTAACTTTAAGTAGACGTCCTTAGAATTGCTAAATTAAGAAAATTTTATTCTTAAAAAAAAAAATTTATTGCCAGAACTAAATCAAAATTTTGAAGGAAAATCACCGTATTACTCTTTTTTCTGTTAATATTTCTTTTTTCTTTTCGTTTTCTTAATCTATTTTTAACTTTTATTTCTTTTTACAGTTTAAAGTTTATAAAATTATGAATTTATATAGTAGTGTAATTAATTTTGTTTCTATTAATATTGTAGGTTTGAATAATTAGCGTTTTTAAAAGTCAAAATTTAAGGTATAATCTAAACATTTATAATTTTTATGAAAAATGAGTATATGTGAAATTAAAATTTGGGCAATAAAAGAAAATATTTTAGAAAACATATGCAAAGCTGGAATTATAAAATATCTCATGTAGCAAATTAAAAGGAAAAGCGCCAAAAAAAAAA